AAAAATTATATATATATATATATATATATAACAAAAATTTTTTAAAATGTATTGAAGTGTGCTTTTTTTCTGTCTTTGCTAATGACTATGGTTATTCAATTCACTGAGCTGTTTTGACAGTCTCTTGTGAAAAGGATGTGTCAATTTTCCAACTATCTAGCCTTGATGATTTGGGACACTAACCAATTCCAACCTACCTGTCACTCAGGATTGGAGCTGAGCTGGCCCCAGAGATACACTGGGGCTACCAGACACTGGCCAGGCAGGAAGAGCAGAAATGTGAGCTGTGCATATGCCCTCCATATAGGATTCCCTGTAGGTCCCTGTCTACTCTTCAAGGAAACAATCCTCCTTGACAGCTGAGACATAGGAAAAGAGAAAAAGAAAAATTACCCAGGGAGATTGGGGATGCTAGTGATCTTCTGTTAATGTCTTCATCTAATGGACTATTTGTGTCTCCAAACAGGACCATGAGGTGTCTCATCAGACATCTCTGGTTCACCTGGGACATGGGATGTCACTGGTCTGCTTTAGGACTCTTCCTGTACAGTAAAGTCTCGATTTGGGGGAAGAGAGAGAGAGTGGCCTGCTCCTTTGATACCTGTCAACCTCCCTGTTCCTGTTTCTTTGCCATTTTTCTCTCAAGAATGGTAAAATATAGGTATTGGTCCATCTACAACTAATATGCAGGTTCTTTTCCCTTTCTCATCCCAATCATAACAAACTCAGGATCCAGCAAGGACTGGATGCTTGCCTACAGATTCTCTTCCATATCCAGAAAATTCTCAAGAAATGTTTTATATCCCTGACCTTGCAAAATGTTGGTCAATTCCTAAGTTCCACTCTCGCTTCACTGGGATAATCATTTCCTTAGAAATTGCATGGGCCAAACATCATTCTAAATGGAGAAAAATTGAAAGCATTCCCACTAAAAATTGGAACAAGGCCAGGATGCCCTCTGTCACCATTTTTATTCAACATTGTCCTTGAAACTCTATCCAGAGCAATTAGAAAAAAGAAATTAAAGGGATATGAGTAGGAAAAGAAGAACTCAAACTATCCCTATTTGCACATGATATGACTCTACATTAAGAAGACCAAAAAAAGTCTGCCAGGAAATTTCAGAACTCATAAAAGAATTAAGCAAAATAGCAGGATATAAAATTAACACCTACAAATCAAACACATTCCTATACATGGTGATGAATCTACAGAAAGAGAAATTAAGAAAACTACCCCAATCACAATAGCCTCAAAAATAAAATATTTGGGAATCAATCTAACAAAAGAGGTGAAAGACCTCTATGGTGAAAACTACAGAACACTGAAAAAAATGAAATTGAAGAAAACCATAGAAGATGGAAACATCTTTCATGCTCTTGGATAGGCAGAATTGATATTGTCAAAATGGCCCATACTACCAAAGATGCTATACAGAGTTAATGCAATTCTTATTAAAATCCCAGTGACATTCTTCATAGAAATAGAAAAGGCAATCATGAAATTCACTTGTAAAAATAAGGGACTCAGAGTAGCCAAAGCAATCCTTAATAACAAAAGTAAAGCAGGAGGCATCACAATATCAGACTTTAAATTATACTACAGAGCTGGAGTAACAGAAACAGCATAGTGTTGGCACCAAAACAGACATGTAGACCAATGGTACAATATAGAAGACACAGAGACAAACCCACATAAATACGGTTATCTCACATTATACAAAGGTGCCAAAAATGATACATTGGAGAAAAAAATAGTCTCTTCAACAAATGATGCTGGGAAAACTGGAAATCCATGTATATCAAAATTAAATTAAATGCCATTCTCTCACCATGCACAAAACTCAAAGTGCATCAAGTACATAGGCATTAGACCAGAGACCCTGTGCCTGAAGAGAAGAAAAAGTAGACCCAGCTTTACATCATGTCTGCTTAAGAATTGCCTTCCTTAACAAGACTCCTAAAGTACAAGAAGTTAAATCAAGAATCAATAAATGGGATGGGTTCAAGCTAAAATACTTCTTTACAGCAAAGGAAACAATCAAGAGTGTTAGAGAGAGCCTACAGAATGGGCAAAAGTTTTTGCCACTTGCACCTCAGATAGAGCATTAATCCCCAGGATATATAAAGAACTCAAAAAACACCACAAAAAACAAACAACCCAACCAATAAATTGTCTAAGGATCTGGAACAGTCTGTTCACAGAAGAAGAAATGCTCTCAGTCAACAAATATGTGGAAAAATGTTCAACACCTCTAACAATTAGAGAAATGCAAGTTAAAACAGAATGAAGATTTCATCTCACTTCTATCGGAATGGCCATCATCAAGAATATAAGCAACAATAAATGTTGGCAAGGACGTGGGGGAAAAGGTACACTCATACATTGCTGGTAGGACTGCAAATTTGTGCAACCTCTTTGGAAAGCAGTATGGAGATTCCTCAGAAAACTTGGAATGGAGCCACCATTTGACCCAGCTACCCCACTCCTCAGTTTATACCCAGATGACTTAAAAATCAGCATACTATAGTGATGCAGCCACATCAATGTTTATAGCAGCACAACTCACAAAAGCTAAACTATGGGTCCAAACTAGGTGCCCTTCAAAAGATGAGTGGAAAAGGAAAATGTGGTATATATATACACATGAACTATTACTCAGCCATAAAAAAGAACAAAATTATGGCATTTGCCAGTAAATAGATAGAACTGGAGAATCTTATGCTAAGTGAAATAAGCCAATCCATAAAAACCAAAGGCTAAATGTTCTCTCTTATATGTGGATTCTGACTTCACAGTAAGTGGGAGGGAAGGTAGGAAAGAATAGAAATACTTTGGAGTAGAAAAGTGAAAGGAATGGAAATAAGAAAGTATGTAGAATGATCATATATAAATATCCTATGTACATATATGATTATATAACCAACATGATTCTACATCATGTACAACCAGAATAGTGAGAAGTTAGACTCTACATATGTATGCTATGTCAAAATACATTCTACTATCATATATAACTTACTTATTAGAACAAATTTTTAAAGTAAATAAAAGAAATTACATGGGCCATAGAAAGAGTAGATGCATGAAATACTTTTCACTTTGAAAAGATCAATGTCAGCCCAAGGAATTCTAGCTGGTGTAAAACCATAATCAAGAGATTGGGGAGTTTATCTCTGGGGTCAGGCCACCTCAGGAAAGTTCTGCTGGCTGGCACCTCCCTTGTTTTCCTCTCCCTCTGCCTCTCTCTGCCTATTCAGTTGCAGATATATTGATTAACTGTAACATTCCAAGTGGTTTTATAGGTGTTCTCTTTGCCATATCATCAAATTCTGCTGGGTTTTGGTAACCTCCCTATCTAAAATATAATCCTCAAAGTCACTGCATTCCTACCAGCAAAGAAAAGTTATAGAACAACTTTGTTCATGGTAAAAGAGGTTCCAGCAAACCTTGAACAAGTGTGTGAGCTCTAGCTGAAGGTTAGAGCTGACTATGAGGCATTTCCTGACCTCTGGCTACTTGGACAGTAGTGGAAGGGACAGGAGACCGGTAGACAGGTGATAGTGACAGTAAGTCCTATCAATGGAACATTGGCCAGGGAAGGGTTTGCTCCTCAGTACTAAGCAGACAAGGTGTTCAGAGTGTCCATGAACTTTAGAGGACTTTACCTACCTGTGGATACCAGCACTCCTCAAGTACTGCCATGTGCCTAGCATTGCACAGAAGCATTAGATACACAGTTTCATTATGACCCCCAATATAGAGCTTTATAATTCACTCTGAGGAAACTAAAGCTCAGGGTGTTTAAATCACTAACATATACTTGATTATGAAGTTTATGCTGCATAATCTCAATTCTATTGAAACCATTGGGTAGGGAGTATATGGTCAACTTTAGTTACAGCTTGTTAGAAGGAAATATGGCATAATAAACGTGTACATCAGTTGCATGGCACATGCCAATTTCAGAACAAGAAGATTTGTATGGGGGGGTATGATTCTTGTGATAGGAAAAATGTAGTAAGTGACAAAGATAAGTTTGAATAATCCTAATTTGAATTTGACATTAAAAGTGTGTGTCATCCACAGTTCTACCCACTTCCTATTTTTTGTTTTATTTATTTATTTTTATTTATTTTTCTTTTTTTTATTGGTTGTTCAAAACATTACATAGTTCTTTTTTTTTATTGTTGGTCGTTCAAAACATTACATAGTTCTTAATACATCATATTTCACAGTTTGATTCAAGCGGGTTA